CGCATGCCTGCACAGCGATGGCCAGCCTGGATTTATCCGCCTGCAGTTTGGAGTGCAGGCTCTGAAAACGTGTCCATTAGTATGCAGTTTTCCAGACTCCCAGCACCCACCTTGGCGGTTTCCAGAGCCTCGTTGGCCTCCTTCAGAGTATCGATCGGCCTGTCCAGCTCTTCGTCAACGATCGGCTCGTATTCGTCCAGATTCCGGATGATGCTGTCCAGGGTGTCCTCGTATTGCCTGAACTTGGCCAGGGAGTCCTCCAGGCGGTTCTTGATTTGCATGGCCGTCTGCAGCAGCGAGTTGTAGCTGTCCTGGACGTTGTTCAGTTGCCTTTCTATGTTGTCCTGGATGGTCGGGGCAACAGCAATGTACTTGCTGATCAAGCTGTGGCCTTTGTCTTTGACATCGCTTAGCACTGTTTGGTAGTTTTGGATGTCTGCGAAGAGGACTTCGTGCTGCGCAATTTGCTCCTCGGTCTGCTCCCGGTTGGTGATGTAAAGCGAGTTGTGAGCCATCAGCTGGAAGGAGACTTGCAGCAGCCATTTTTCCGTGTCTTGCAGCTTTTGCTGGTAGGTGTTGTACTCGAGCAGTTCTTCCTCAAGGGAATCCTGCAGGGCCTTGCAGGCCCCGGAAACTGCTTCAAAGCGCGCTTCCAAGTCGGCTACTTGCTCCAAAACCTCCGGCTGCTTGGACCAGTCGCTCAGCTCATGGGCTTCGCCTCTCAAGCGGTTCAGATCCTCGCGCTTCTTCAGGATTTCATCCCGCAGAATCTTGTAGCGCTCCAGCAGTGTCTTCATCTCACTCAGCTCCCCCCGAGTGGTCGGTTTGTCCTTCACAGCTTTCTCCACGCCCACCAGCCATTGGTTCAAGTTGCTCCTTGTTTCGTTGTATCCGGCCCATCGAGCCAAGGCCGCCTTCAGCTGCGCTTCAATCGACTTGAGGTCCATGTTGAGTTGGTCCCAGCTGTTCCTCAAAATCGTCGTGCTCTCGCGCAACTCGTTCTGCTGTTCTGGAGTGGCGGTGTTGATGACTTTAGCGAACGCGTTCTGAAGCGCGGTTAACAACTTCTGGCCTTCATCAACGTTGGCAGCCACGTTCTGGATGGTTTCCAGTTTCCTCCTGATGTCGCTCTCGCTGCCGATTTCTATGCACGCTTGCACTGTGGAGTGTTTGGAGGTGAGCCACGCTTCCAGAGCGGCTTTGCCATTGAGGAACTCCGTGTGGTCGGACAGGTTCTTCTCCACTTTGGACACCAGGGTTTGGGCGTCTGTTAGCAGATTTGTATATGCTGATTGGAGCTGGACTGATTTGTCGCGCACCCAATTCACTGCGCTGAGCTCCATTAGAACCTCGCACGAGTCGGAGACGGTCTCCAACTGAGGCTTCAGAGCCTCGATTTTCTCCAGCAGTTCCTTGCACCGCTCCAGGTCGTCGGGTTTCTTGTTCTCGCGCTCCCGCTCAGCTGCAATCAGGCCGTTGAACTGCTCGATGCTCTTCTCCACTGCATCGCAACTGCTCCTAAACTCCTTCCAGGCGTCCTTGCATTTGCCTAGGGACTTTTTGATTTCGCTGCAGATGTACTGCAGGCCTTCCCAGTCGGAGTTCAGTTGCTCGATTTCCTCGCGAATGATGTCTCTGCCTTCTGAGCCGGTCGTTTTCATCACCTCGATGCTCATTTTGATGGTCTTGTTCACTAGGTCGTCGCACTCGCTTAACGTGCCGGATATTTGCCCGATTTTCGCCTCTTTCTCCACGATTTGGGGCAGTTCGTCCTGGAGATTGGAGCACGATTGAATTTCCACTTGGAGCTTGCGGATCCAGTCCAGCGCCTTGTTGTAGGAGGCTTTGTACTGGTCGTGGTCGTCCACTTGCACCTCCAGGTCGGAGATTGCTCTGTGCAGCTTCGCTTTGAGGTCGTCGTATCGCCTGACCACTCGCTCCGTTTGGTCTTCTGGGATGCTGTTGTCCTCTTGGCTTTTGGCCTTGATTTTCTCCACCAGGCTGTTTTGGGTGGAGATCTCCTTTTGGACTTGCTTGTACTTCTCCAGCTTGGCCTTCTTCTCGGGGAGCTCGTTGCAGAACTGCTCGTCAAAGTGGATGTGGTTTTCCTGGTCTTGCAGCCAGTCCAGCAGCTGGCTTAGGAGCTTTTGCGCCTCGTCCAGCTGGTTGGCGCGGACTTGCAGCTTGCTGCGCAAGTCGTTGACGTCGCCTACCAGCCGCTCCATCTCCTGTTTGAGGTTCTCGGTGTCCTCGTGGATTTTGGCCACTCCCGATTGTTCGGTGTTCATGATGACGCGCTCCTTTAGCTCGTTGATGTAGCGCAGCTTGTTCTGCCCTTGCTCGATGGAGGTCCTGATGTTCTTCACTGTTTGCAGCTTGTTGTTGATTTCGGAGAGGCTGTTGGGGATGTCGACGCATCCATTGAGCTTGTCGCGCGTGCGGTCTATCCAGTCCTGGCACTCCTGGTGCAGAGCGCTGTGCTGCTGGTGCTCTTGGTAGTAGAGCTCCAGTCGCCTCATGATCTCCTTGGCCATGGACAGGATCGTGTTGTACTTGGTGGAGAGCTGCATGATTGCGTTGCTGACTCTGGAGTCAGCGCAGGTTTCCAGCAGGAGCTGCGCTTTCATGTTCAGGCGGTCCAGGTCGGACTGCCAGTCGAAGAGGGTTTGCAGGTGCAGCTGGAACTGCTCCAACACGGCGCGCTTCTCCTCCAGACTGTCTTGGAGCTTGTTGAACGACTGCACGACTTTCTCCTGCTGGCTGAGCCACTGGAGGGCGTCCTCGAACTGCTCCTCGTACTCCGTCCACTTGACTATGCCCTTTTCCAACAGGGCCTTGATGTTGTTCAGCTGCTCCACGTAGCTGTCGAACTCGTCCTGCAGCAGGGCGACTTCCTCTTCGATCACTTCTTTGTCGATCTCGTCGGCCACTTGGCAGGCCTTGTCGCCTTCGTCCAGAGCAGCCTCCAGCTTCTGCTCGCCTGTGGGCAATTCCTGATGGAGCATTTTGATTTGGGAGAGTTTGCTGCCTAGAGCCTCCTTGTCTCCCATGGGTTCGGAGCACTTCCCCAGCTTCTCCTTAGCTAGGCGAATCCAGTGCACGAACTCGTTGGCAGCATCAACGAACGCCTGGTGCTGCTCCACGGTGGCTTTTTGTTTGGCGTACAACTCCTGAGCTTGTTTGCTGAGGGTTTCGTACTTGGTGGAGATTTCGGAGGCCGGCGCCGCCTGCTTCAGGTCTTCCGCCTTGGAGGTGACTGATTGGATCATCGGCTCGAATGAGACGATGTCCTGCACGATGCTGCCCGTTTCTCTTAGCGTGGCCTTTCTCTCGCCGATGGGGAGGGCGCTGAGCCCTCCATGGCCTTTGCTCTTTACTGCCTTGGGTTCGACCACTTGCTGCAGCTTGGCTTCGCGCTCCGATATCCATTGCTGGAGCTGGTGGTACGAGCTGTCGTAGTCCGCCCATTGCAGCAGAGCGGTCTCCAGATTGACCTTAACGGTGGACATTTTCTTGACTATGCGTTCCCAGTCGGTTTGGACTTCTTTGATTTCGTGGTTGATGGCGTCCCGGCCGTCTGAGCGGGTGTTTCTGAGCACCTTTTCGCCCCCGTTGACCGTGGCGTGCACCAGACTTTGCCCCACCTCGCGCCGCTCTATCAGATCCTGGATCTGATCCAGATATTGTTGCAGGTTGTCCTTGGTGCTGTTGGAAATCGCCTCCGAGCACTGCGAGATAATGTCGCGAGCTTGATCGATCCAATCGCGGGTTTTCTCCAAATTGGAGGCGTACTCTTTGTGCTGCTCGTGGTTGGTTTCCACCTTCTTCAGCACGTCTTTGGCCACGTTCAGCTCCACTTGGTAGCGCGAGTTCAGCTGCTGCAGCTGGTTGTTCACGTGCGTCTCCAATGGGGATTTGAGCAGCGTCTTCGCCGAGTCGTTCAGTTTCTCGATTTGGGCTCTGCCGTCCACAAGCCGCTGGAGAATCCCCTTCACGTCCTGCACCTGCTTCCGTTTCTCCTCCAGTGTGGGGGAAAGCGCGATTTTTTGGTTCTTGATCAGGATGGAGATCTGCTGCAGCCAATCGGAGATTTTCTCGTATTCGTCTTTGTAGTCGCGCCAGTGGACCAGCACCACTTCCAGTTGTTCTCGTTGCTGCTTCAGATCTAACAAACAAAGGTATATACAATAACCATCACTTCTTAGGTTAGTTGCATATTCACTTTCCGTTTATAACGAACTTCCACGCTCAGCAACACCAATCGTGCGGAGTTGTTTATATTAGTGAGAGCGAAAGACAGGCGGTGACTTGTTTTTTGCCGCGTTATGTATGTAAATCGTTAAGCTTTTTCTCTTCCGTGACTAAGCGTGACTAACCCTGTATATATATATCCACTAGAAAGAAGTAAAACATGCGAAACTTACCCTTGAACAGCCTCTCGAAGCTCTCCCTCAACGCTCTGATTTCGTTCCTTATGGGCTCCTGGCCCGCAGTGCTGGTGTTGGGGAGAACCACCTGAGCAGTGTGCTCGAGGTTCTCAAGCAGAACCTCCCCCTGCGCCTGCTTGTTGAGCAGATGGTCCAGCGGGCCTGAGAACATCTCAATGGACAGCTTGTCGCCCAAGGGCCTTTGCTTGAGCTGCGGCACTTTCTCCTGGGCGCGGGTCATCCACACCTGCACCTCTTCGTAGGCCTCCTTGTAGGCCTTGTGGTCCTTGTAGTGCTGCTCTCGTTCATGCAGCAGCACCTGGACCTTCTTGAATATGCTGTCGAACCGGTTGAGCATGTGGCGCGCCTGGTCGGCCGCGCCCTCTGCACTTTTGCTGCTTTTGAGGATGTCGGCCGCTTGGGTCTTCAAGGTGTCCACTTCGATTTTTTCGCATCGCACCCGTTCCTCCAGCGCTTTGATCCGGTCCAGCTGCGTCTTCTTCTCCGAAGCTGTGGCTTGCAGCTCGCACAGCTCACTGTACTGGCTTTCCAGGTTCTCGATTTTTTTGTCCAGCGCGCTGATCTCCTCCAGGAGGCCTGTCCACTTGCGCAATGCGTCCTCGATCAGAGACTTGGTCCCCACCATGCTGGTTGCGATGTTGGACCATTCGCTCTGCAGGTTGGCCAGCGTGTGGTTGATGGCATCGTGTCCATGGGGCGCTGTGTTGGCCAGCACGTTCTGAGCCAGCTCCACTAGCCTCTGGATGGTGGCGAAGCCCTCCTCCTTGTTCAAGATCAGGTCTTGTATGGTTTGCAGCTTGCTTTCCAGTTGCTTCTGGGAGGCGGATTGCACATCTGCACAGTACAAAAGCTTGGAGCTCAAGTCCTCCAGCCATCTCTCGCACTGCTCCACTTCGGCGTTGAAGTTGTGGTGGGCGTTCACGTATTGCTGCCACCTGGACGTCTGCTCCTTGACCTTCTGGTTGATTTGCTGGTACTTTACGCCGAGCTCGGATATTTGCGAGGGCCGGTTGGAGAGGCCCTGATTGAGCTGCTGGATGCGCTCAGTCACTTTGTCGATCTCGAACTCCTTGGCCTTGACCTCGCCCTGGAGCTGTTTAAGCGAGCCCAGCTGTCTCTCCTTTTCATCGGCGGTGGCCTGCAGGTCGACCGAGTGGAGCTTGTTGTCGGTGTCCTTCAGCCAGGCCAAGCAGGCGTCGCGCAGCCTCTCATACTCCGTCCAGTTCTGCAGCTTCGCCTCCAGCTCTGCGACGGCCTTGTCGATGTTGGACACCAGAGCCACCCATTGCTGTTGCGTCGTCTCCACTTGGCTGCGAATGTGCGACTGTCCTTGGTCGACTGTCCCAGGAATTACGTCATCGCCCAGGGCTTTAACCGCCGCCAGGCGGGACTCCTCTTCCTCAATGGACACCGCCAGCTTCTGAACGGGGGAACAGAATTAGCGCAGTTTTCATTGGAGTCACCACATACCTTGAGCCTCTCCAGGTTGGTCAGCAGGGAAACTCGTTCCAAAGTGGTGTCGGCCCATAGGCCAACAGAGCTCTGCTTGGCCTCAGTCCATTCGCTGGTCTCCTGCATGGCTTTGTCGAACTTCTGATGATCGGCCACGAACTTCTCGTAGCGCTCAACGAAGCTCTGGGCGCGCTTCTGAAGCTTGGCGTGCTGCTCAGCAACCGTCGCGATCTGCCCCTCGAACTGGCTGTCCTGGTCCGGGAGGTGCGCCACTTTGTTCCGGAGATCCGCAATGTTCTGCTGGTGCCCGGAGACGTCGTGCAGCAAGTTCCTGTACACTTGGAGCTGCGCCTTTTTCTCCTCCAGAGTGGCCTTCAGCTCGATGTCTGTCGGGAGCAGCTTTTCCGCTTCCTTGGACCAGCGCTGGATGCTCTGCAGGCTGTTGTCGAACTCAGACCAAACGAGCAGCTTCGACTTCAAGTCCCGATCAGCCACGCTGATGTCATCGAATATGGAGTCGAAGGCCTGCTGCAGTTGCTCCAGTTGGGCTCTGATGATCTCGCGGCCCTCTGGGGATGTGGATGGGTAGAGTTTTTCCCCGGTTTCGATGGTGGCGTTCAGCAGCAGCGACGAGCTGGTTTTCTGAGCCAGCAGCTCCTCGAGCACCTTTGCTTGGTCTGCCAGCACTGATTGGGCGCTGCTGCGCATTAAGGCCTTGCTGGTGTCGAACCTAGAAGGCTCCTGTAAGGCTTCAGCATTCACTGGGGTTGTTGGCTTACTTGGTCAAGGCTGCCGCTAGCCATTCTGAGCACTGGCGGTACTTGTCGTTGTAGGCTTTGTGGTCCATGTAGGCCTGCTCGCACTTTTTCACGATCTCCTTTGCAGTCACTTGCACGGACTGGAACCTGGAGGTGATCTGCTGGATGTTGAGGGAGATCCTGGTGTCTCCGCTGGTTTGCACCAGTTCAGTGGAGTCGTCTGAGATTTTGTCGAAGTCGCGCTCGTTCTGCTTCAGGTTGGAGACCAGAGCCTAGAAAACATGCCCAGTTGAGTGCAGTTTGAAGCAGCGATGGACGAGGTTTCCCTTAGCATAGTAAGCCATCACCGAGAAGAAGCGTTGAAGTGGACAACACATTCACACTTCACGCGGACGACATACAGTTACACCCAACACCAGAGGAAGAGAAATAATGAAGAATGCCAAGGAAACTGTGTTGAGTGAGAGAAGACAAGGCGAGAACAGCGTTACAAAGAGTTGTACATGCTTTCCTGACTGTGTTTCTATCCCAAATCAAAGTTAATTCCTGGGTTTCGGTCATTTATTGTCTTTATTTATCAATTAAAATACGTTTCGGTGTATTTTTCTGTGTGACCAGAATCAGCATCTATATCATCATATAAACTATTTAACAACAACAGACAACAACGCCTTACATTAACTAGATTAGTTTTTGTTGCTGAACAGGGAGCAAATTAAGGTTTGCTAAATCAACCACTCTTCTAATTGCTCGCGTAGTTTTAGGTTCATTCAATTTGAAGATGTCCGAAATTTTTTGTTAAGTTTTGCACAAAAATGTCTCGTGTACATACATAAAAACGAGTGTGTTTCGAGTTGGCAATTTCCATTCATAATTTAATTACCATGATTGTTTCGCAGCTAAATCGTTTTAGCAGTAGTAAAACGTGTAAAAACACTAAGAAAATCCCATGACTTTAATGTTATCACGTTGCTACATACGGAACTTCAATACTTTACAGGAAATGCTCTCGATATAATTAAGAGAGTAAAGTATTTTCTTTATTGTGACTGAGAAGCTTGGAAGACATGCTCAAAGTAGTGGGGTATATTAGCTCAATCCCTAATTACAGATTAGTGAAATTAGTGGTAACTTTTGGGGGTGCAAACGAGTTAGTCAACTAAGAACAAACTCCCTAGTCTAGAAGATACGAGCGAGCCTAATAAAAATGGGGAGACATTTGCATAACTAGTAACAATAATCGTAATAAAGCTAAAATACACATTCATATTCATTTGAAATGTATTGCAAGGCCTGAAGTAGCAACAACGCTACACATGAAAACTGATGATGCTGGAAAAATACACCGAAACGTATTTTAATTGATAAATAAAGACAATAAAACCCAGGAATTAATTTAGATTTGGAGTTACCAAGAGTGAAGACGTAGTGGTTCTTACTTGCTCCAGATGATCCCCGATGCGGATCAACTGCTTGAGTTCCTGCGTAAATGTCTCGACCGATTTTAATAAGATCTAAAGACAAATCGTCAGATTATCACCCGAGTTAGTTTCGTTCGAAACGCCTCAGAACACCCACCTGATATTTGGCCAGCTCCTCCTTCTTTTCCTCCTCCGTCGACTTCGGAGTGTAGTCCTTCAAGGCTTGCTCCGATTCGGTCAAAAACGCCAACAAGCGCTCCATGGCAGTCTCATAGTCCGACCATTGCTTCAATCGATTCTCCAGTCCAGACTTCACATCCGCCAAGGTTCCATTGAACTTGTCCCTGTCGGCCTTCAGGTTGGCCACGTCTCTTTGCATGGTCTCCTGAGCTCGCGCCGGCAGCATCGATATGTTGTTCTTGATGTGATTCTCCAGCTCATTCAGTTTGATGGTGTTTTCTGGAAGAGTGTCCTCGATTTCGCCCACTTTGCTCAGTCGTTGCTCGATGAGCGGCTTATTGCCGCTGTAGTCCACATGGCAGTTCAGGGTGTCCCAGAGCTGCTTCTGGTTGTCCTGCTGGACTTTCAGCAGTTCGTAGAACTGCTGATAGGAGTCCAAGCAGTTCTCCAGCTGCTTGATGTTCTTCTGGGCGGTTTGCAGAAGGTTTTCGTAGCGGTCGTTAATGGACTTGACGTTATTCTCTATGTCCATCACTTTTTCCTGGTTGCTGGTCAGCTTGATGAGCGATGACGACTTTTCGTTGATGCCTGGAAAAACGCGTTATTTGATGCTGCTGATTGATTTGTGCGGAAGTACAGACCATCAAGTATTCTTTTATAGGGAATGATTTCTTGCAGCGTGGTTTTCTGCTTCAGCAGTTTTCCTCGCACGTCTTGGATGGACGACCAGGACGTGGTGTCCAGTTTCACCTGTTTCTCCATGGTGTCCAGCCAGGCTAGAGCATGCTGAAGCATTTCCTGGTAGTTGGACAGTTGCAGAGTCTGCGCTTCCTGCAGCTTTTGCTGCGTTACAACACCTAGGGTAGAACTTTGTGACCAACAAGCCTCCACTGGAACACCACGCAAACTTACCATCAGCCAGTTTTTCCCATCGTTCCCGAACGTCCCTGATTTCATTGCGGACGATCTCCCTTCCATTCATTGCAGTATCGGGCAAAATCCGCTCCCCCATCAAGGTCAAGGAGTTGACTCGATGCTCTCCCTGTTCCTTCTCCGATAGGAGAATCTGCATCCTCTGGGTGACCGCCTGAGGACTATCGGCCACGTCGCCTCTTTGCAAGGCCGCCAGTTGGTCCTCCAGCGGTTGGAGCCACCTCAAGGTGTCCTCCAGCTTCTGCTGGTACTTTTGGTGGTCATCCGCAATGGCTTCCCAGCGATCGATGGCGTCTTTCGAGGCGCCATGGAGGTTTTGGTATCTGCATGAGGGTGAAGGATGTCTGATACTTCTGAGGAAACGGGTGGAGTTGGGCAACTGACCTGAGGCTGAACTGGGACAATACGGGCTTGATTTTCTGGACACCGCTGGCATGGAGCAGCGCATGAGTCTGGTCGATGAATTGGTCAATGTCCTTCTCCTTGGCCTCCACTTCTTGGCGCTTCTGCTGGTACTGGGCCAGTTGAGCCTGTTTCTCGGGCAAAGTGGCTTGCAGCGCTTGGTTTCTGAGTGTTGTCTCGTACTGCTGAATCCACTGGTTGAGGTCCTCCAAGGTCTTCTCGTAGTCGTCCCACTTGGCCTTGGCTGCATCTTGCTGCTCGACCAAAGCATCTGCAAAATGTCCCCACATGAACAACCTGATAAAACGTTGCCGGTAGGCACTCACCAATTTCAGATAGGTGTTGTTGCAATAGGCGCTGACTTTCAAGCAAATCGGCTTTAAGCAAGTCCACCCCTTTAGCCGCAGTGCTTTTGCCAACCACTATGAGAGAGTTCTTCAGCGCCTCCAGCAGTTTGGCGCCCTCCTGTTGGCTGTGGGCTTTAAGGGCATTCAGACTGTCGATCCTCTTCGCAATCTCACTCCTGTCGCCTCCCTTGTCTTCAAACTGGCTCAGCTTCTGGTTCTGCTCCGCCAGCCAGTCCTTGAAGGCGTCCACTTGCAGGTTGTAGGCCTGGTGCTTGTCCACACAGTCCTCCAGGTTGTTCAACAGTTCCTCCGACTTGGCCACGATGCCCAAGAAGAGCTGCTTGATGGACTGCAGGTATAAATTGAGCGATTTGTCCTGCGTTTGGTCGACCAGGTGCTGAGCGCGGTCGCAGACAGTTTCAACCAGTTGCTGATGGGACATGATTTCTTGGTGCATGATCTTGTGGTTCTGCAGCTGCGCCCGCTTTTCCTGCAGAGTGGATTTCAGCTCGGTGTGCTGCTTCATGCCCTTTTCCACGTCTCTGAGCCACTTGGTCAGCTGCTCTTGCGTGGCGGCGAAGTCTGAGAATTGCAGAATGCACTGGTCGAGCTTATTGGTGGCCAGCTGCAGGTCGTCTCCGAGGGTGTCCCAAATGGTGCGGATGTTTCTGAGTTGCTGGCGGATTATTTCGCGTCCATCCGGAGAAGTGTGCACGTAAAGCTTCTCCCCCTTTTCGACCAGGTTTTCGAAGTCGGCGCTTCGCCGGTTCTTCTCGTCCAGCAAATTGCGAACTTCCACTTGACGCCTTTGGAGAACGTTCAGGTCTCCGACGATGTGGCAGAGCTCTTGGAGCTTCTCCTCCTTGTCTGAGAGCCATTGCAGGAACGCACTGTACTCTGAGTTGAACTCCGCGTGGTCTTTGGCGAAGCTCTCATAGCGGCTGATGTTCTCCTTGATGGCGTTCTTCAGCGACTGATAGCGCGTGTTCAGCTGGGACACTCTGGAGTCGGTTTCAATGGTCTTGATCACCTCCGTGAAGTTGGAGAATTCCGGCTCCTTAGCCACGATTTCCCTCTCCAGGGCTTTCAGCTTGTCCAAGTAGGTCCGTTTGGCTTCCTCGGTGTTCCGCAGACTTTGGTCTTTGACTTGGTTCTCCTTGGACTTCAACCAGCTGTCCAAGGTGTCCACCATGCGGCCAACTTCGGCAAACCGACTAGAGATGATCTGCAGCCTCTCTCTAGCCTCAGTGCACAGCTCGAGGAACATTAGCCAGGCGTTCTGCTGATCCTGGAAGCTGTTGATCAGGGGCGGGTGACCCTCTGCGGCTGTTTGGACGAGGACGCTTTTCAGCTGCACTTTGCAGCTGCCAATGATTTTGTCGCCCTCGTCCTTTTGGGCCAGAAGGTTTTCCACTATGGTCAGCTTGCTTTCGGTCGGTTCGCTCGAGGATTCGTCCACTAAAAGGGCGGCCTCAGCAGTGAGGGCGCTCAGCCAATCGTGGCACTTTTCTATGGTCTGGTTGAATGCCTCGTGGTTGCTCACGTAGTCTTCGGAGAGTTCAACGCGTTTAGTCACATCGGCCAGAAGGGCGTTCACAGCCTTCAGGTTGTTCTTCAGCTGGGTGTCTGCATCAGAGTCGGAGATATTAACCAGCTTCTCTCGAAGCTGCTCCAGAACGCTCTTATGCAGGTTGATGTCCTGCGAAATCACCTTGTAGTTGTACAGCGTCTGCTTCTTCTCCGACAGGGTGGCGTCCAGTTGAGGCTCGGTCAGCTTCAAGGTGACTTCGTTCAGCCACAGGGTGACTTGCTGCAGGCTGTCATCGAACGAGTGCCGTTGTGTTAGGGAGTTTTCGACGTTCTTGTAGATCTGGTTGACTTGCCCGATGAGGTCCTCTGATCTGGTCCTCAAGGAGCGCAGCTCTGTTCTGATCGAGTCCCGATTTTCCGGGGTGATGCCGCTGAACAGGGCCTCCCCATGCGTGACCGCCTTCCCCAGCAGCTCCTGGCCTTTCTCCTTCTCGGTGCCAAACTTCCTCAGCTCCTCCAGCATGGCTTGGCTGGGCCTTTGGGAGGTCTTCGAGAAGCCCTTGACTTTCTGGCCGGCTTGGTCCAGCCAGTTCTCCAGGTCCTGCACACTGTTCCTGTAGACCTGCTTATACTTGTCCAGCTCGTCCAGCTTGCTTAAGTAGTTTTGCAGGAATTTGTTCAGGGATTGATATCGGGAGTTCAAGTGCTGGACGTACTGGGGAACGCGCGTGTCCGGGGCATTTTCGATCAGCTTATCGCTCACAGCGGCCAGTTGGGCGATCTCCGGCTGGAAGGTGCGAACTTGCTCGAACAGTCGCTGAATGCCCTCCCTTTTCTGCGCCAAAGTCTCCAGGTCCATCTGCACGGTTCCTTCTGCCTTCACTTTGTTCTCCATCTCTTTTAGCCAGTTGGCAATCTTGTCGGCCAGGTCCTCGTATTGGGTTTGGATGTCGATGTTCGTGCTCAGCAGTTGCTTGGTTTGCGAAAACTCGCGTTGCAGATTGTTGAGCTCCTGCAACAAGTAGTCCTTTTCTGCGGTCAGCAGCTTGACTGACTCCGGAGATTCGACCTGCGACAGCATTTGGAGGCTGTTCTCCAGCTCCTGCATGCGCTCCTTGCACTCCTCTATAGCGGTGTCGATTGCGTTCAACGATCCGAGCTTGACTTGCAGATTGTACTTGTCGCTCGTGGTGTCCGGCATGCACCACTGGATCTTCTCCCTTTGGGCTGTGATGATGCGCTGCAAGGCTGCGTATTTATCGTTGTGGAACTTCTTCAGGAAGGCTGATAGGGAGGTGTCAATTTTATTGGCCTGCGCCAAGGTGCTCTTGTAGCGCTTCTTCAAGGCCTCCTGCTCCTTGATCGTGGAGCTTTCCCCGAAGTTCGGATAGGTTTGGGACATTTTCTTGATGTTTTCGTCGATGATCACCAGGTTGGGCTGTTGGTTCTCCAGGTCTTTGAGCAGCACTTTGATGTTCAACAGTCGTTCCAAGATGCGCAAGTTGTCCCCTGAGAGGTCCTCGCATTTGATGATGTCCTCCCTCAACGCGGACAGCGTGGCGCCCACAGTCTTGATGTCATCCCTGATGGTCTTTTCCTGTTCTCCGAACGTGGCTGTGGCCTTTTCCAGGCTGGCAACGTTGCTGGCCACCGTGGAAAATTGCTCGTCCAACACCTGGATCAGCGTTTGTAGAGTGGGGATGTCCCGGCCGTCCAGGAACTTCACCAGCTGCGTGTACTTGTGAGGGACGCTCTGGTAGAGGCGCTGATGGGCAGGCAGCTCTTCTTTGTATTTGGACAGTGTGGCAGCTGCCACCTCAGTTTCGTTGGGCTTTTCTGCCGCTGCCACTATGGCAGCGTTCTGATTGCTCAGCCACTGGATCAAGGTGGCTTTGGTGTCCTCGATGTGTCTCCAGATGGTGGACTGGGACTCTGTGGAGTTCACGCTCTTGACGATTTTTTCGTAGATCTTCGACCAGACGTCGTTGATTATCTGCAGGTCGCGTTTCACTTCCGACTCGACTCCCGGGATTTTTTCGGTTTTCCTGATGATGGCCTGGCCCTTGTTGTCCACTCTGTCCAGTAGGGACTTGGTTTTGCGGATGGCGTCCAGCGCCTTCTTGGCCTTGTCTGCGTTGGCAGTTGCCTGGATGAGGTCGGCTGGGAGCTGGAAGCTCTCCACTGATTTATCGATCTTTCCCAGCTCGGTCACGATCTGGTCTTTGGACTCCTGGAACTCGTTCCATGCGTGGATGATGTCGGCCAGGTGGAGCTTTTCCTCCTTGATGTCCTCGTTGACTTTGTTCCATTTGCTCTCGATTTGCGACACGGTGTTTTGGATGGTGCCCACCTGCTGGGCGTCTTCCTTCATCAGCTGCAGCGCGTCCCTCCGCAGCTCCTCTTTGGCGGCGGCTTTCGCCTGCTGGGCCTCCAGGAGTTTGTTCAGGTCTTCGACTGCATGCGGCAAGTCGCTGGAGTGTTTCACTGTGTTTCTGATGGCGTTCAGTTGGGTGGCGGTGCTGGTCAAGTCAGCCAGGAGTTTCTGCTGCAGGTTGGCGAAGTCGTTCCAATGCAGCTTGACCTTCTGCTTTTCCTCCAAGTTGCTGGCGAGCTTCGACTTCAGGTTAATGGCCTGGACTTCGACCTCGCGCACGATGTTGTCCGCTGTCCTGGGCAGGGCTGTGTGCTTGTCCAGGATAACCACCGCTTGGTCGGCGTCGATTTTCGGCGCCTGCTGCTTCCAGTGGATGATCTTCTCCACTGTCCTATCGGATTCTCCTATGAGCTGGCGCAGCGTCTCTGGGGCGCAATTCTCGTTTTCCAGTTGGTATTTCATGTGGTTCAACTGGTTGATGGTGTCGGTGTGCCAGTTGAGCAGCTCGCTCCATTTTTGCAGCGAGGACATTTTGCTTCGCAATTTGCTGTCGATGTCCTGATTGACTTGCACCAGGTGCGAGTACTCTGCATTGAGCGGCTCGCCTTCCTGCTTGGTCGACTGCAGGGTGATTTCCTTGACCTCGCTGTAGATCTTGTGGAGCAGGGGCTGCTTCTCTGAATGCTCCTGCAGGAGGGCGTGGATGTTCTCCACGGCTGCATCAATTTTGTTGGCGGGGATCTCGTCCAGTTGGGCCACGTTGGCGCTGATGGAGTCCAGCCAGTTGGAGTAATCGGCAACTTCCGTCTGGAAGTCGTGCCTAGCCAGGATGGCGTCAGAGACTTCGTTGATTTTAGCGCGCACTGCTTCTGCCAGGTTGGCCACTTTGGCCTTCAGCGCCTTCACCTGGTCTTTGACCACGCTGGCCCCTTCGGGGGCGATTTGGTAGCTCAGACTGTCCGAGCTTTGGGTCATGCTGATCAGCTTCGCTTGCTGTTCGGAGATTTCGTTGTTGAACTGCTTGAGGCGGATCAGGTCCTTTTCCAGCTTGTCCACATTGGGGGTGAGGGTGTTGATGGGTTTCTCCCTTAGGGCCCTCTCGTTGCTGGTTACCCAGTTGTCCAGGTGCTGCACGCTCTTGTCCAGGTCCACCCAATTGGTGACTAGTCGATCCAGCTTCTGGCGCCACTGCGTGGCGGTTTCCTGCACGTTGAGCAGGCGGGTGCGAACCGAGTCCACTTCGTCGGGCGCGTCAGCTTTGCTGCTGATTTTCTGGCCCAGCGTCTGGATTTCTGCGAGTTTCTGAAGGTGCGTTTGGCACTCCTGCGAAAACCTTTGCGTGTCGCTTTGGGCCTTCACCGCCTGCTCTAAGGTGGCGGGCTTAGGAACGCCCGATTGCACCTTCAGCTCGGCCTGCTGGACGACTGGGGCAACCTTCTCCAGGCTTGCCTTGTAGCTTTTCCAGTTCTCCAGGTCTTTGGATACTAAGGCAGCTTGGCCTGCCACCGAGGATTTTATGGAGGTGACCCGCTCCTCCACTGCTAGTATGTCGGACCTTAGGGCTTGGCCATCGGGCGAGTCTTGGGATAGAGCTTTGGAGGCCTCCTGCTTCAAGGTGTGCAGGAAGTCGACCTTCTGGGCGATGTCCGATTGGAGCTTTTGCGTTCTTTGCACTCTCTCTTCGGGGGTGGTGTTGCAGTCGTTGACGGAGGAGAGGAGGTGGGGCGCCTCCTGCACCGACCAGTCCTTGAGCTGCACCAAACGCGACTGGAGCCCGCTCCACTGGGTTTTGTACTGCTGGAGCAGAGCGATTTGCTCTTGGATGTTGGTGGTGGTGGTCTGCAGGCGATGCTCCACATCGCTCACGTCCTTTTCCAGCTGCGCCTTCTGAGCCCCCGTGGTTTCCTGCGATAGTTTCAGGGTGAGTTCTCTGAGCGGCAGGATGTCGTCGTGGGCCTCTTGCAGGTTCCTGACCAGCTGCTGCTTGGCTAGCAGGTCGCTGGGGGCGCTTTGGATGCTCAGCTGCTTGGAGCTGGTCAAGTTTTGCTCGACTCTGTCGAGCAAGTTGCTGAGGTCCCTTTTGTGTTCTTTGTAGGTGCGATACGTTTGCTGGGTGCTGATCAGCTGCTGCAGTCTGGTTACGCTCTCACTGTAGGTCTCCGTCCAGCTGGACTCCAGAGTTTTCACTTCGTCGGCCACAAAGCTGGGCGCATGCACGTTTCTGGTCAGCTCTTTGCCTTTCTGCAGCATCGTCATGACGAGCGGCCTTTGCTCATCCAGGTGCGACACTGTCACCTCCTGCTGGCGGATGTTTTCGTCGATTTTCTCCAGATTCTGCGGCTGCTGGGTGGAATGCTGCCGCACTTGGCGCAGCAGCTCGCAAATTTGGCGCACCTCCCGTCGGTATGTGTAGCACTTCGACATCGTCTCCGTCTTGGTCATCGTGATCTCCAGCGATGGGATCAGATTTTTGTATCGCATGATCAAAGCTTCCAGGGTTTTCTGCTCGTCGATCGCCTGCTGTTCTGGACAGTGGGAGACCAGATTGTCCAGGGTCTGGACCAGCCATTTCATGTCCTCGCGTCTGTTGTCCGCCTCTTGGCAAATGGTCTGAAAGGACAATGGTGTTAATCCCAAATCAAAATTAATGCCTGGGTTTCAGTCATCTATTGTCTTTATTTTTCAATTAGAATACGTTTCGGTGTATTTTTCCACCATCGTCAGTTTTCTAAAATCACAGTTCGTCAACAGCCTCATCATATCATACATTGCAACACTTTGAAACATTCTAAAATTGATTAGGCTTAACAGGTGATTAGTCAGGACAATCAGATTTGGGAAAAGACTAGAATTTTTTATTCACATACTTAAATATTTTTATTTACACGTGTAGCGTTGTTGCTGCTTTAAGCCTTGGCATACATTTTGAGTATTCATTTTGTCCATTTTGGACACAAAGCGAATAAAATATTGTTTTACTTTCAGCTATTTTTCTTTGGATTCTGAGAATATTATTTTTGGTTTGCAAAATTCTTCAATATAACGGGTGTTAGTTAATATTCTATGTTTATTTCATTTAATTAAGGTATGATATACGTATGAGTTACGTGTTTTACTGATTTAATGCTCAAAAAATTACAAATTTTGAGCTGCTAAATAAAATATGAATGGAGTTTGTGGATTGTTTGGTTGAAGCTGTGTTGCCAAAAGTGCATAAAAATCGCACTTGCTAGAGATAATTTTACAGTCAAACTTTAGTTAGTGGCTCCTTCCGGTCGTTTAATGCTAAAAAAACGGTAACGTTTGCGCATCTAAATAAAATATGAATGGAATTTGTTGATTACATTTCTAGCTGTGTTGCCAAAAGTGATTAAAAAACGCACTTGCTAGGAATAATTTTCGAGTCAAACGTTAGTGGCAATAATTGCTTCTTCCGCTCATTTGATACTAAAAAATTTTAGTGTTTGCGCTGTTGAATGAAATTTGTTGATTAAACGTTAAGCTGTGTTGCCAGATGCGATTAAAAACTCAATTGATTGGAACAATTTTTGATTCCAAGTTTAGTAGCAGCACTTACGTGTTTTACTGATTTACAAGTAAGTACTGTAAGTTTACAGGACAACGTCTGCTCTATAAGGGGAAAAAGTTTCAGGTTTCAGTCATCATCAAGCAATTTTCAAGAATTTTTCCAAATTGTGTGACGGTCTTTGCAGACCCGAGTTTAACTCTTGTTTTCTCTCTGTAACATGCAAAGCCAGTAAAAACGAAATACAGTTTTTAAAAAACTGCCGACGTTTTGCCACATTTATTTTGGCACCTTCAGGGACCCAGCACACCGTTGCCCTGAGGATGTGCAAATAAATATGAAAAAACGTCGGCAATTGAGAAAAAGCTGGCTTTTATTTTTAGTTGATCAATGAAACTCTGCTGAGGGCGCTTTCGGGATAATTTTTGTACGCAACTTTAGTGGCAATAATTGCGCGTCTCACTCATTTAATGCTCAAAAAATGGCAACTTTTGCGCCTCTAAATAAAATATGAATGGAATTTGTTGATTACATTTCTAGCTGTGTTGCCAAAAGTCATTAAAAAACGCACTTGCTAGGAATAATTTTCGAGTCAAACGTTAGTGGCAATAATTGCTTCTTCCGCTCATTTAATGCTAAAAAATGTTAGTGTTTGCGCCCCTGAATGAAATTTGGATGGGATTTGTTGATTAAATGTCAAGCTGCGTTGCCAGATGCGATTAAAAAACTCGATTGGTAGGAACAATTTTTGAATCGAAGTTTAGTGGCAGCAGTTACGTGTTTTAGTGATTGAATGCTCAAAAAATGACCAATTTTGAGCTGCTAAATAAAATATGAATGGAGTTTGCTGATCGTTTGGTTGAAGCTGTGTTGCCAAAAGTGATTAAAAATCGCACTTGCTCGTAATAATTTTCGAGTCAAACTTTACTGGCAATAATTGCTTCTTCCGCTCATTTGATACTAAAAAATTTTAGTGTTTGCGCCCTTGAATGAAATTTGTTGATTAAACGTCAAGCTGTGTTGCCAAATGCGATAAAAAAACTCAATTGGTAGGTACAATTTTTGTTTGTTGTTAGTGGCAATAATGGCTTCTTCCGCTCATTAGATGCTAAAAAATGTAGTATATACAACAGGGTTAATGGGGCGACAAAAGGGGGCTGGATCGCTTACCTTAAAAGCCGCAATTTCCCTATCGAACTCTTCAGGGGTGCTGACGTCTGTTAGGATGTTCTGCAAGGCGGCGTCCACTTGGTCCATCCAGCTGGCCATTTCGCTGAACTTTGACCTGTACTGATCCCACCTCTGAGGAATGCGCTCCAGTTGCTGCTGAACGGTGTCGATCTTGATGTTTACGTTCTTCCATTGCTGTTCGGCCTTTTCCACGGCCTCGCGCAAGCTCTGATCCTCCGGGCAGTTCTGCGAGTAAACTTGCGCCAGCCCTTGCAAGTTGCTGAGTCGCTGCTTGGTGTCCAGCAGCGGGCCTTTGCCAGAGCCAAAGTACTGCTTGTGCCTGATTATGACTGTGTCGATGTTTTCGTTGCGGCTGATCGACAAGTGCTCGCTCTGGATCTCCTTCTCCAGCTCCTTGATGTAGTCGTTGAATGTGTTTTCGTCCAGTCTGAACTCCAGACGCATGAGATGCAGAGGAGCGAAGCTCAGCACCTCCTTCCACTTGCTTTGGAGCCGATGGACGCTAGCAGCAATTGGACTGTGGGACTGTGAGGGCAGACTGCTGCACAAGTCCTTGGCGCCTTCGATGAATTCGTGAATCCAGCGCTCGTTGACCGACTCGAAGAAGTTCTTGTGCTCCTCCACGGTGCTTTTGTTGTCGATGTGCTTCTCCGCTATCAATTTCTCCGCGTGGTTGAGCCAGTTGGAGATGACGCGCTCGCTTTCCGAATACTTGTGCCAACATCTGATCAGTTCTTGCAGTCTTTGCTCCCACTCCTGCGCACTTTGGCTCACATACTCGAACCGGCTGTTGAGCCGCTCCATGTCTTCGGTCATTTGAAGCGCTCCCGGATTGTTGGCGCTGTCCACCGACTTCATTATGTTGTTCATGATCTTGTTCTTGCTGTCCAGCATCGATTTGTAGTACAACGTTCTGGTGAAGAAGTGCTTGACCTTGTCCAGCTGGTCTTTGAGTTGCTCTTTATCGGCCGCCAGGTTGAGAGTGGACAGGAGAGTCTCCGCGTTGTCCAGCCAGGAGTTAATTTCCTTCTGGCCGGCCTCCAGCGACTCCTGCTGGATCACCAGCTGGTTGAACAGGTGAATTTGGGCGGGGATGAGGGCTCTAACGCGCACCAACGCCTCCTTCTCCCGCTTCAAGGTGTTCATCATCTTGTCCACTTCGTCCCTTCGCAGGTCTTGGATCAACGTCTGGAAGGCTTTGCTGATGTTTTTGAACAGATTCTCAATTTCCTCGACCTCAGACTGCAGAAGCAGCAGATTGTCGATGTGTCCCTTGATGAGCTCCATTGAGCCCAGCCGGGGCGTGCCCAGCACTTCCTCGGCCTTCCTGAGCCAGTTTCTGAGAACATCGACGCCGGCTCGGAAGTCTTTCTGAGTCCTCAATGTTTCGCCAGCGTGGCTGTATTTCTCAATGTATGGGTAGATTTGACCCCATCGTTCGGTCATGCTTTGGTAAGTGTCTCGCAGTTCTCCTGCAATAGTGTCTTCCACTGCGGGTATCAGGAAGTTCGCCTTGTCTCCAAGCAGTTGGAATTTATCCCTGGAAAATTTTGCCGATGTTGAACGAGGCTGTTAACATTTGCTGAAATTGCGAACAAAGCGAAAAATATTCAGCATTCGTTCGGCTCGCTCCTGCTCGGGAAAAACTCACAAGCTTACAGCTTCATTTTCCGCGTACAGTCAGACAGTTTCTATTTGTGCAGTAAAAACTGTCCATTTTACCAACAAAAACCCTAAAAATCGTTTTGGAATTTGGTCAAATGAGCTTTTTGGTCAAACATCTCCCAGAGTTGCAAGCAATTCCGGGAGATGTTTGAYAATCCGCCGAATTTTAATTCTTTTASTCGAAAACTGTGCATTTCCGCAAAAAARCCCAAGAGTTTTTTTGTTCCTAAATGAAATTAACACTAAAAAATATTTTTTTAGCGAAAGAAACACCGGCGTGCTCGATCAAAAGTTAAATCCGACATTCCAAAAATCCGACGAATTTTCCTTTTTTACTCAAAAACGGAGCATTTCACCGAAAACACCCAAAAGCGCTTTTTTGTTCCCAAATGAATGTGGAACTGAAAAATAATTTTTCTTTGGCAAAAAGACTCTGGCGTGCGCCACTTTTTTCCTGGATTGTATCAAACGTTAAATTTTCTCCGACAATCCGTCGGCTTAAATTTGCGGTGATTTTCTGTGACGATTTGCCAGATTTATTTTTTTTCATCAAAAACTGTGCATTTATGCAAAAAAAATCCAAAAGAGCTTTTTTTCCCAAATAAAAGCAGAACTGAAAATTAATTTTTGTTTGCCGAAACTAGAACGTCAAATGTTCACCGACAACCCGACGAATTTTCCTTTTTTACTCAAAAACGGTGCATTTCAGCGAAAATATCCAAAAGAGCTTTTCTGTTCCCAACTTTCTGTAGAACTGAAGCATCATTTTTGTTTGCCCAAAAAGACTCCGGCGTGGTCTTCTCTTCTTCTGAAATATATCCAATGTAAAAATTTGCGGCGATTTTCTCCGACCACCCGACAGAATAAGTTTTTTGACTAACTTTTGAATAACTTTAAGTGTGCATTTATGCAAAAAAAAACTGAAAATACATTTTTTAGTCCCAACTGAATCTAGAACCAAAAATAAATTTAGTTTGCCGAAAGCCATTGACAAACACTGTTTTTTTTTTAAGAAAATGTAAAACACAGCTTTATTTTTCGGGTACAGTCAGACAGTTTCTATTTCTGCCATAAAAGCTGTCAATTTTACCAACAAAAACCCTAAAAATCGTTTTGGAATTTGGTCAAATGAGCTTTTTGGTCAAACATCTCCCAGAATTGCTTGCAAAATTTAACGTTTGATACATTCCAGGAAAAAGTGGAGCACGCCAGAGCCTTTTTGCCAAAGAAAAATTATTTTTCCGTTCTACATTCATTTGGAAACAAAAAAGCGCTTTTGGGGATTTTCGCTCAAATGCTCGGTTTTTGAGTAAAAAAAGAAAATTCG